AAGGGCTTGTGGAGAGTTGTAATCTGAACTGCCGACAACTGGTGGTGTCTGGCAGGAATGTCTGCTGTCACCGTTTCTCTCCAACTTCGTTGTATATGTACTCATGGACGTAAACTTGCGTAAATTTGACTTCGCAGGGGTTGATCTACTCTCTGGAGGTCTTCTCTTTGGCTTCGACTTTGCAGACGATATTGTTCTGTTCTGTTGAAAACGCTGACAAAATGTAGAGTCTTTTGAACGCTTTGAGTATAAATCTGAGTAGGTTTGGGATACGTCTCACTGGCACCTGTGAAATGTAAGATGATGCTGCAGGACTGGTCTGCAAATACTCCTACTTTAAGTGTAATGAGTGAAGTGGTGGAATGTGTCAATCATTTAACTTACTTGGGGACTTACATCAGCCCGTCGAACGGGTTGGTTACTGACAAAATCTAAACTGGGATACAGAAGGCCTGTCTAGTATCTGCCAACTTGAGTTATCTGTGCCACTGGCTGCCGAGTTAACCGACTACCTGCCAAAGAACGAGCATACTGCGCTGCAGATCGTTTTGTTCGGCTTAGAGACATAGTCAATGAAATTAGAAAACATGATGCGCTTGCAAGGTTTTGATCTTTGGTGCCTTCGTAGCGTTGTTTGCGTTTGCTGGGATTACCGTATGAACAAGGTTGAGGTCAAGCGAAGGGTAAGGTAAAACAGGGAAGTCGATTGATTAGTTTGTGAACTTTAGTTTGCTGAGATCGCTTGGATATGTACTGTGCATGCTGATCCATAGCCTACCTCAACATTCCATGCTACGGAAGGTAGATTAGGTTGGGAAAGGGTTCAGGGTGGTCGGACGAAGACATGGCATCTGTCGATGAAGCCTGTTACTGTTGGTCTGAGCCTTGTGGAGAATTGCAGACTGCTTGGTTGGGGTCTCTGGGACAGTAGGAATCATTGGTTGAGGATTCTTGGTGACATGGCTAAAAATCGGTCACAATGGTGACATCTTCTGAAGCCTGATGACTATTATTGTCCTTATTTATCGTTTTTTCTTTCATATAAAAAATTGTTTCTTCACATCAACTGTCTTTTGTTGTGATCCATCGATTCGAGGCAATTGTAAGCATGACGGTAAGTCTTTACAACTTGTCCTCACTCTTTTAGTGTTCTGCAGATTACTGATAACTAAGATTTTGAAATTACAATGGTTGTCTAAACTTTTGTGAATTTTTTTATGCAGTTCCTGTATGTACACCATATCTTTAGTGAGCAATTTTTTTCTCAACGAAAATCTCTTAAATATTCCTGATCCTCTCTGATATAAAGCGAAACTCACTGAGAACTCATACGTAATGTCGTTTTTTTTGTCTTGAAGACAAACAAACAACAACTCGGGTTATCTAGATCTCTTTACTCATTATCTGTGAGTTAAAAGAACAGAATATATATATATATATATATATATATATATATATATATATATATATATATATATATCATATGTCGAATGTTATTACTTTTTGCGTAATTTTCCACTTCTCTTTTGCTTCACTTCCTTTTTCTGTGGCCTGAACAAATAATGAAGGATTCTTTTTCTCCTTCTGTAATCCTTTGTAACGACGAGGCAAAGTGAAAAAAAGAAAGGAATTAACGTCTAACTTTTCATGAATCGATATTAACTTAGACATTATCCAGTCTTTTCTGGCTCGTAGCCAAGTTGACTGTTTAATAGTTCACACATTATTTTCACTGTCACGAAAATCGCTGTCTCCGTCTTCCTCTCTCTTGGGGTGTGCATGTGTGTGTGTATGTGTTGCGTCTTCAGACATACACGAACACCATATTGTATACTAAGATACGTATACACGTTTTATGTATTATTATACGCTAATGTAATAAGATATGAATACACCACTAAACTGACAACCACACATATGTATCAACGGATAGAAAATACTTTTTATCAGTACAGCTGGATCTGTCTCTCTCATACCTCATGCGTACGTTCACGGACTTACTGCGGGGTCTCCACGATCAATGCATTACTATATAAACATTGGTTAAGTGAAGATTTGGCTTATGGACTTGAATATTTAACATTCAACTTTCAGTCAATACCTCCCAGGTTCATATGTACCTACTTTGCTCTTAAAAACTGAGCAGTATCATAAGTGCTCAATCAAAAAGTGTTACTAATGTGTTAGTGCCTCCAACTGTACCTAATTAATTCCTAAAGGTTTCCTGTGTTGAGTATTAGTTCCACCGGAAAACCCACTTTTTTAAAGTTACCATCTTCGGGGACGGAGAATATTTTGGAGTTTTTGTGCAAAATATTGTCACCTATGGTACAAACTAACTCAAGGGTAATGATACACCGTAGAACTCAATGACAACATCCTTACCATAATTTTGAAAGGTAATCGGTTATATTTTGAACCAGTCAACCTATGAGAACCTTTTTAAATAACTCAACCGACTCTATGTAGTGATTGCTGTTATTTTGAGATTCATCATTCCTATTAAAACTTTCAAGTTAAATTCTATGTCAAGTGGAATGTGATTTGCAAATTCTTTTTTTCGAGGGAGGGTTGGGTGGTATTCTACAGTCTTGTTAGACGATGTGTTGCAAAGGTTTTTCCAAAGGCATACATGTGAATGTTCCTTAGACGGATACATTCAAGGTAATAACTTTGACAACAGAAGCGTCTGTCACTGTAAAGGTTCCCAATAAATTCATCACTCTATTGAAAACTCTATATTTTGACAGCGTTAGGTGTGTTATTGTTTAAAGGTTGTGATGTGTCAGTTGAATTGTTTACATCTCTATTCATATTTAATTTCGTCACAAATGTACTTATCAAGGTGTTTTTTTCTTCCTCTTAACTTTAAAAAGATTGAACGTGTCACAAGAGACTGTCTAGTAAAGCTAAGGTACGGAGATGAAATAGTCGTGTTTGGTGGATATGCTGACAGAACGCAGTCTTCTGTGTACATTAAATGAGAGTTTGATAATGCTTGGGATGTATTTGTCACCACCTAAATGCAAACTGTTACTGCCAGACTTACCTATGTTAGTGCCTCTTTTAACAATGGGTAGTCAAGCAGTTGAAAACATTCATCACTTCACTAACTTGGAGAGAGTTGGATCAACCCTGATGTGAAGGTAGCCGATGAAATCTGCGTGGATAGAAAAGGTTTGCTTGGCTTTTCCAAACTTACAGCATTTACCGTATGGGCGTTATATCCTATTGCCTACTAAGGGCTGCAATTATCTCTGTTCAAATATATATATGGCTGTGAAAATGAACCATTAAAGGTGGAAGATATGACGAGATTTTAGGTTTTCAGTCACCGTCGGCTTCTTAGCTCAGGCCATCCATCGTGGTGCTACCATATCAGTAATGCTGAAGTCATGTAGAGTTTTTGTCAGCTGATGATTTTGTAAACACTCATTGACTCAGATGGCTAGGACATGTGTTACACATGTCTAGGTTAAAAGTGGCTACTCTAAATCATGACATCAGTTGATGAAGCCTCTGACCCGTTTATGAGGACCATGTAAGGAAATGTAAACTGAAATCGGTTGTTGGAGACTAGGTGGATCGTGTTCAGAGTTGATCGCAATGGTTCGAATGCACCCATACATTCTTTATATTATAATCGTTATACCGAATGTCATTATTGCTTTCTTACTTCATCCTCTCTTTATTGTGAATTTCTACCACTTCCTTATACTGGGTGATGATAGGAAAGGAAATGAAAACCTGGGTTGCGACGGGGTTTGAACCATCAGCCTCTGTCAACTGAACCACGAGACTCAGCTTCTGATCAGATCTTAATTTGACTACATTCAGTAATGGTTTTACCTGACTTCTATGCAAATTCGTGATGCGTAACTGTTCCTTTCGCCGTAACTTTCTTATTTTTTCGGCTCTCCATCTTGTTGTGCTAATGTGAACCGGCGCACATTTATACGAGGTTCAGCTTTCATATTGACTGACTAACCTTAGACTGTTGATTTCGAAATTATTCCCTTGCCGATTGATAATGTTGCTCTTTTGTAGAACTAATTTATTTATTCAGGGTACAGTTTCTTAGCTCAAAACATTTTTTTTGAAGTGAAATTACATCTCTTATCTTCCGATCCTACAGTATTTACACTTTGCATACCTTCTAATTGGTTCAAGACAAGATCATCGTTACTATTTTTTTTTTACAATGTTTAAAATTGTTTCTACACATGACTGATATATTAGTCGACTAAACATAGAAAAGTGAATAATGAGGCTCTTCTATGATTGGATGTAAAATCATCTTATATTTCTTATTATCTGAGTTATTTGTACACTCTTAAGGAACACTGTTGAATATCTGCTTAGGAGGGGGGAAATGTTTTATACTACGATTATTGGAAATATAGAAAGTCGGATAGGGTCTGCAATTCTCAACCATCAGATGTTTCAACCGAGGTATAGCTTTCTATAGTCAATAATAACATCTTACAAAAAGAATGCAGCTATTGTAAAACGTTTAAGATGAGAAAATAACGAGATTAATTCATGTAAGTATGTGTAGGAAGAGGTTCACCATAAATAACTTTTGTTGATTAAACTGGTACAAACTTGAAAAAGTGAATAGAAATGAAATGTATTACATAAGTTTAAGAAAATGTATATTAAGAACTGTCTAACTATGAATTGGAAAATCGTATAGTTTTGACTTGGTGAGGATTAGGTTCAGTTCAGGTGTAAAGTTTTTAACACAAAAGACATAAGGGTGGCAGTACATGAAACTAAACAGGATACATAGTATAATTCTAAGTAAACAGTAGCAACATATATTTTATTCGTCGAAAAACATACTACTTAACACAATTAATATGTTTTCTGATGACTATCATCAAGCGACTGAACAGTGTTAAGGAGGAAATTCTTTTACAAGTAGTACTCTTTAAGCATTGCTTACTTGCACTATTAATGAATAATATTAAATCTTTTGTTTGTTTCATGGTTTTTAGCGAATAAGTCAAGTCAGGATTCTGAACAAGTTGATGTTAATGGTTTACTTGAAGAAAAAGCATCAACAGAATCACAAGTTGCTTTCCTAAATTCGATCATTGTTGACTTGCACGCTAAAAATGCTGAACTAGAATCTCGTGTACGAGCAATGCTTGTTGGTACAGATGAACAATTAGAGTGAGTATTCTTCTTATTCATGGTTGTTTTTTTTTAAATTTGACAATGAAATTAACTAGCTATTTTTTTTTACTGAGTAATTGTTTCATCAAGTAAAAGGTGCTTGATGAGGTTCCATCACACTAGACGGCTCTCCTTTTCAAATATTTCTGTATTTTTTGGTTGTATTAAGTTCTCTGAGATTGTACAGCTTTGAAAATGAAATCGCTGAAAAGAGACTCTTTGTTGAAATATACTTGTTCTTCTTTCATATTATTATTTACATCGATGATAATTATGTGTGTAGTCGTTTTTAGTAGGCCAAATGGAATCCTTCAGTTTTTTTACTTCAAACTGACTGCGTTTGCTATCTACTGATTGATTTCAGGACGAATAGTAGAGGTGGTCATGATAGTTCTATATCCATACTGATTTCGAGTATAATCACTGACATAGAAACATTGTAAAATTATTTAATGTGATTCTCAATATATTGATGACTTAGGAGGTTGATTTTCAACCAGTAGGGGTCATAGATTCGCACTCTCCTCCACCTACTGAGGTTTTGGTAGCCAGATAACAACAAAGGTTGAACTAGCCTCTTTTGTTCACATATAATTCCATTTTCTCTATGCATATGGTAAGAGTTTATAGTGGACACAGAAGGTGGGAAGTTATCATTTTCTCGTAGATGACTTTGAACTCTAAATGGATCCATCAGAAATGTGATGATCGGGCACCTCGCCAACACTAGTAACAACATCACAATTGATTTGACGGTTCTCATTTCTTTTAATGTATTGATTAAATTACTCAATTTTTTTCTGGCCAGAAATTTCAGTTCTGAGTCATTTTAATGAGGAGTTTTTAACGAAGTTTAAGCCATGTACAGTTAACAGTTTATTCTACTCTCATACAAATTTCATTTTATAATTTAGGCTTTTCCTCTCCCACTCTCTATCTTATATTTCCTTCTGCTTTTCCATTGATTCCCAGCTATATTTTATCAGTGAGTTTACAGTGTAACTAATCACTTAATTTATATTTCATGAAGCAATGATGGGGGAGATTAAACCGTCCAACATTCATTTCTAAGTTTCTTATACTGTTGAACAGCTGGTGGTAATATTGATTGCAACATTTTTCGTTCATGACAGAGACTTTATGGACTGTTATTACATCTTGAAGTGGCTACATTGAGCCTTCTTCTAATGTAATCCAATTTCTACTTGCATTGCTTGTTGAGGTAGACGGTGGTTTGGTTTTGCATGCAGAAGACACATCCAAGCCATCTAAGGTTCATAACCACATTGACTGACTTACCTATCTTTCTCAATACCCTCCGCCTATCCTTGACATTGGTTACACAGTGACTCTACCATACATGATCATTGCCATGAAGGCACTTTTGTTTAAAAACTATGATCTTATATTTTATACTTTTAACGACTATGTCTCACAATCGTAAAACTGCAGTGCAGTCCTTTAACAGGTAGTCGGGTATCTTCACAGTTGGCTCCAGAAATGGCAGTTAATTGGTAATTACTAATTGGACGCTTCTTGCTGGGGCTGAGAATTTAGTCAGCAACCAGCCCGTTCAGGCTGATGCAACTTCCCAAGTCGGGGGGCGGGGGGTGATCAACGTATTGCACCGTCCCATTTGATTCCCTCTTCGCAAATTGGGAGTAGCTGCACGTCAGGTGCATTTGAACTTATGCCTTAGGCTTTAAGAACACCTTGCATTTTATCAGCTTGTTTGTCTAGTAAGGCAATGTCGTATGGATACTACGAGTCAGTCGGGTTCCCTCCAGGAAGTAGATCAATCCACGTGAAGCCAAATGTCTCTAAGGCTATGCCTATTAATACATCTATGACGACACTAGACAGGAATGTTGACACGTGTGGTTATCGTTATTTCAGATGACAACACTCCATAATATCTCATGAACGGCTGCATCAGTTCAAGTGAAGAGCTTTTATTGGTATCACATATTTCCTCGCTACTCCATTCATGGTTAGATATTGTCATAATACCTCTTGATCGACAGATCTAAATGCCGTCTTCAGGTCAAGAAATATGGTAAGTGTCGCCCACCAGTATGGTTATGTTTCATATCTAACGACAGGTGAATATTTGATGTTCTGTAGTCTAGGTATGAAACGTGACTTGTTTTCTTGAGTTTGCTTTTTTAGACGTCCATTTGGGCGTTGGATACCGATTTGTCCTAGAATACTGGATACGATGTTGCTTGAACTGATTCCTGTATGGTAGACTTTGAGAGATCTCTCTACTTTCTTATTGATTAGAATAATTGATCATTAGAGTAGACCGGTCCGACGGCACTACGTTTTATTCTCTTACGCTACATATTACCCCCTTTAATCTGTTAAGTAGTTTCCTACGTCTTCCCTTAGGATGTTCTGATGGCAGACCATGAGATCCTGCTGCTTTGCGTCGTTTCAGGTTAGAAATAGCCTTCTTGGCTTTACGGAGAAATATAAGATAGACACATACGTCTTTTTCAGGTTCGTATTGTATGTTGAGCAACTGAAGCGTTACTGTGGGTCAGTTGTACGGTTCCTAAAAGTGTTCCAACTAACGTCCTAACCACTTATCCCGAAAGGTTATGATGGACTTATTTTCGATGATAATCTCAATAACCGTCATCCTCCTATTACCCAATGAAGATGCCTTCTCCATCCCTTTGACTCTCACCACCTTCCACTGCTCTTAGTCACTGCTACGGCTGTTCTGCAGTTTATATATAAGCTACTCTTACTCCTCGTTGTTGTCAGACCCAGCCGCAATGAGTCTTCTCATCAGTCGTTTTGAACGAAGTCTACGTCAGAAAGATAATTACTGTCATGTTTTAAAAATACCTAGTTTACCTTCCCTGGAATACACAATTAACTTTTCATCTTTCAGTCAAGCGTAAAGAGGCTTATCTGCTGAGCACATTTAAGCGTAAACATATATATTCCCAGTAGTTACACGTGATCAGAGTGTCAATTTTTCATCGACACTTTCTAATCATGGCTTATATCTATGATATCAGTTATTATTCATCAAGAAGATATTTTCATGTTGATTGGATTGAAATGCTCGGTAGGTAGCCCTGGACCTAATTTTTTTGCTTTTTGACACTTTTCGGTATGGTGTTATTTTCGACCTCTATGGAAGTGATGTGCTCTGTGCAATTTGAACCAGCGTCAGCCAATACTGCAATCAGAGATAGTACCATCAAGCTGTTCGTGTCGCTATTGGCTATTTTTACACTTTCCTTCATGTAGACTGTTTTCCATTCATTCTCAGCAAATGTTATTATTATTATCATCATTATTATTGTTGTTTATCCCTTGGGTTCCTAGTGAAACATGAGAGCCTTCATGCTCTTGAGGACATCATGATAACCACTCCAAAATTCAATGTGCCCGCGGTTGTCGTCTGGGTGACAATATTGGAGTAGATTATTGACTCCTCTGCAGTTGATAGTTTTGAGAGTCCACTTTCATCCTATCTGCTCTCACAGATTCTTAGTACTTCTATGCCATATTTTGTCACTTCTTTTGGAATCTGCACAGCTTTGCCAGCCAGCTTCAAACATTGTTCGGACATTCCATGTCTCTCTGCTTACTTTTGCTTTCATCGAGAGAGAAAGAGAAAGAAGACACATCGGTCAATTAACTTCCTGAAGGCTTTCACCAAGTGGCATTATTTCATCTCTCTGATTACAGCGACGAATAAGTTTATTTTTTATATTTTTTTGTGCTTTGAAGTTCCTTTAGTAATTGGATTGATTTCCCAGGTTGGGGTCGCTAGCTCCAGGCCCAACCTTCTCTATCCGGGCTCAGGATCGGCTAGTAACTAGTGAACTTGTAACGTAGACGAGATTCAGCAGATATTATATAAAATGCAAAGTATTGCTCAAACAAAGAAACGTTGACTTTACTATTTCTGCAGATTTTGACAACTAAATACTTATTTCAGTGGTTTTTATTATCTTACAGTTTGAATTTTTAACTGGCTTGTAGAATAAGATATTGGTAGATTGTGTTATATAGACAGGAAAAGTTTATTTTAGGCAAAGATTCAACTCCTCACTCTAATCAACGTTATCCTAAACACTTAGATAGTTGTCGACTTTTTCTACTATACATAGTCTAATTGTGATGATTTATGTCTTTTAACACTCATTGATCATGATAAGAAGGTGTATATTTTGAGCTATACTTCATTATAACTGAATAGTAATATTTCATAGTTAAAAAAATTAGAATGATATGCATACAATAATGATTGATTTCATTTTATTTATCTTTCTTTCTTTTTGAAAAATATTTTGTCATTATTCTCAGCTCACCTTCTAATAGACGTGCAAAATCTCGTGGTACTCTACCACCTCCACGTTTATGGTGCGACAATTGTCTTGTTTTCGACAATCATGATACAAATGACTGTCGACAGTTAACTACCAATAATCATAATAATAATAATAATATTCCCAATCATAACCTTCGTTATCGGGATATTATTAATGGTACACATGTTACTGGTAGTCGTCTTATCATCAATCCAACTACTACTGATGTTAATGATGATCAAATTTGTAGGAAATCTTCATTAAAAGCTTATCATAAAAGTTTTTCTTTGAAACACCAAACATCGAATCGAGTATATTGTGATAACTGTGGCGTATTCGATAATCATACAACTGAGAACTGTAATGATACACAAACATTCTAATATATATATATATATATATATATATATATACATATATATATATATATATATATATATATATATATCATAAGTTAACTTTATCTATGCACATTTCATTTAAAAATATCGATTTATTCTTATATATATATATATATATATATATATATATATCCAAGTATGTAGGTGTCTGTGTATGTATTTATGTGTGTGCAGTATGCATATTTGCTATCCTGTTCTATATTGAAATGAAAATCGATCTAAATATAGATTTTATCTTCAGTGGTAATTGAAACATAGTGTTGTGTTTTTTTTAAAAACTGCCTCCATCATATTTTTTTTTCTTGTTCACTATTCTTTTTCTTGCTTATTCTCTTAAATGGAGGGAATAAATGAAATTTGAGATCTCATTCTCTCTTTACTGAATCGAAAAATGAAACTGCAATTTTCTTCTGTGTAAATTCTACTATTGTTTTAATAATTATATAAACTTATTGTCTATTTGAGTAGGATATGTTCGAGTAATTTTACAATGATGATAAAGAAGAGGAGATCAGCATATTATTTTGTCATTGTTCGAGTAATTAGTTAGTGCCTTATTCCTTCCTCTATAGCTTTCTTGATGAAAAAACCTATTTCATCATTTTTGTTGTTTGTTTATTATTACTGTCATCGTCATAATGTTCGATTGAAAAAGATTTTATGCACACATATTCATTACTTTTCAATGAAAATATATTTACTTTTAAATGTTGTATTATCAAAATACTGAATGAATACATTCATGTTATGCAGTCAATCAGCTAGATACCTGCACATATAAACGTCTGCATACTCATTTATTACATGTATAACAAATATACATATATATATAACCATATATAGTAAATAAATTATATTTTAATATCATAAGTATGTTTTTCTACTGTTTTTTGATAATAATCTGTTAATCAGGTAACGCATTTTTGTACTGCGACTCAACAAGAGATACTGCATGATGACTGTTAGTTTTGACTATATTACTGTATTTCACTTTCAATCAATGAGTCACAAGTTCAAACTGAATTTAATTTGTTATGAGGTGGTGATTCTACTTTTCATGTAATAGATGTGACTCATAACCGTGTGCTCACACCAATAACATTGATCTGTTATAGTCATGATTTACACTCAGGGTGAACATTTTTGACTGTGATTCTCTTCAAATCCATTTGATGGCTATCTTTGGAATCTATGACGTACGTTTCGCCTTATCAGCTGGAAGTACCTCACTCCCAGTGGGGAATGTTGCTCGAGTTTTGCTTGGAACAATATTATACACTGGTACGCAGTTATATCCAGCTGACAAGTCTCGAGTAGGATAGAACCATGCATTGTGCATTCTACTGCAAGCCACCAAGCAGAATACAACACACTGAATAACTGGGCACTATTGACGCATCTACTCCGGTCATCCAAACGACAACCACGAGCACACTGAGTTTTCGACTGGCCATCATCATGTCCTCTCCCAGCAGCATCGAAAGCTCTCTCTCATGCAGTAGCAACAAATCCCCTCCTCCAGCATCAACATCATGACAGCAAAATGCATTCAACTGAAAAGGAAGGAAAGTCACAATCATACAATGCCACACCACACTACGCTATGCTATGCTATGCACCTACAAATAATTAAGCAGATGAAGAGAAGAAGGAGGAATTCTACAGACAACTGCAATCAGTACTCGACATAACCCCACCACAGATGGCGAAGGTGACATCAAAATCCATTCTAATGTGTCCAGTGACATGAATGCCAAACTGGGAACAGACAACACACAAAGACAACTCATCATCATCACCATGATCATCATCGGTCGACAGGCAATCGGTGAAATGATGAGTGAGAATGGACAACTGTTTGCAGAATTCTGCACATCCAACCATTTGGTGATTCGAGTCACTCAGTGTGTGTGTGTGTGTGTACAAACAAACACAAGAATATTGACAAGGCAGCGACATCGATTCGATTTGACCAACCACCAGATAGACACACTTCACTACAAATCACATCGACCTCATGTGAATGTGAAGAAAGTGGAGACGCATTCAGCCTACTGGACACAATATCAGAGGAAGGAGAAGAAGAGGAGGAGCAGATGTAGGTTGGTTGACACCACTCACCATGTAGTGTAAGCAATCTAACTTCAAGATTGTGTTGAAAGCCATCAGAGAAGCTTGTGATGATAGACGATAGTTCAAGTGGAACACGCTTGGAGAAGAGAAAGTGGACTGAATGAGGAAACTACAAAGGATATCTTCATGTCAGTCACTTAGTCGTTAGGAAGATAAGGGAGACATTGGACAACATCCTCGAAGAAACCTGTGTGGACGAACAATGGAAATCTTTGAAAGAGATGTTGAAGGGAACCTGCATAACCGTGTTAGGGTGGAAGAAAAACAGGACAAGGAATTCACCTCCACATGGAAGCTGACAGAACGGCGAGAGGAAGATGGCGGAAGATGAAGCAGTGACCTGCAGTGCAGGAACGAACAGTGAGAATAGGAACTGAATACAACGGATAAAACACTACACTGGACAAAGAAGCAAAAAAGAGTACGCGGAAAGACAAAACACACTTCTACGACACACCTACGAGGGAATCAGAACAGGCTTCAGGTAGGAGAGACAGAGACACAACCACACTGCATCAAATAACCAGCTTACCATCTGGGAAGTGATCAACTCAGACGAAACCAATGAAAGATAGTGATGGAAACTCAGTTACTAAAGTGGAGAAACAAAGGAAACAAAGCGATGACCTTACCACTTCAAAAAACTCTTGAATCGACCAACACCACCACCACCTGTAAATCGTCCAGAAATATCACCACTGGCACGCCACAGAACTATCAGTGAACATAAATCCTCCGACAAAGCAGAAGTGAAGTCCTGAACGCCACAAAGCTGCTGAAATCCGAGAAATCAAGAGAGCCAGATGGAATTCCTCCAGAAACACTGGAAACAGACACAAAAACAGCAGTGGACATGTTCACGCCACTATTGCTGAATGTTTGGAAGCAAATGTGCCTGCCCATTGATTGGAGAAAGAGTTACCTTGTCGCGGAATCATGCTTCTGTCCACCCAATGCAAGCAAAATATTAAGCCGTATCATCCTAGAGAGACTAAAGGTTGCGCTGGATTCAAAATTACGCCTGGAACCGGCTGGCTAGCTTCAGGAAGAACAAATCATGTGCGGATCAAATTGCATTGCTACGCATCATCATGGAATAGAGTATAGAATTGCAATCAACTGGATCTTTACTTCATCGATTTTGAAAAGGTCTTCGACAGTGTCGACCGAGAAGTGATTTGGCAAGCAGCTACTTGAACACTACGGAATAACGCCACATGACGAGTGATTCACAATGGTAAGCTTAGTGACGACTTTGAAGTGAAAACAGGAGGAAGACAAAGTTACCGCCTACTATCACCGATGATCTTCCTGATTGTGGTCCACTGAAAGCTAGCTGGATCGATGAAAAAATCTTAGAATATTTGGATTTCACCAATGATGATTTATATCTAATGTTGCACAAACTCGAAGATCTACAGGCGTAAACTAACAAGTTGACAGAAGAGGCGAGACAGTGAAGGAAGATGAGACTTCTTTCAGGTGAACGTAGATAAGACAGAGGTGATGAAGATATCCAAACAACGACAGCATCAACAACAAGCACCAACTGGAGAAACCTAAAGGAAGTTGTCTCTTTCACCTACCTACCTACCTACCTAGACAGCATCATCTCAACTACAGGCGGCGGCGGCACAGATGAGGACAGCAAAGCCACGATCTGAAAAGCAAAACAGGTCTTCATTAATCTGAAATCAGTGTGGAGATCTACTGTACTCAGCATAAGGCATGAACAACATCCGGATTTTCAACATAAATGTCAGTCAATTCAGTGCTTCTATGTGATGGTTGAGAGACTTGGCGCGTTACGAAAAGCATTTCGAACAAACTACACACATAGATCACATCAACAGCTGCCATCTACGGTCACTCGATACTGTAGATGAGATCAGGTGGCCAGAATAATAAGAGTAAGCGACAAGAATCTCTGGGAACGAACCAACCAAAAACCTATCTGCCAGCAAATGTGCAAAAGAAAGTGGATTGGATTGGGCATACAATGAGAAAACCATTCGGGACATCACGCGCCAGGTCAGGCCCTCAAGTGGAACCCGCATGGGAAACGACTGGTTTGGCTTGAGAGGGTGACATGTAGGAGATCGTGTGAGGAAGAAATGAAAGGTAGTGGGGACTTGAGGAGCCAAACTGCAGAGAGCAGAGTGGGATGGCGACGTTCTACTGAAGCCCTATGTTCCACTAGGAACCCAAAGGACAAATAATAATAATCGACGCCTCAATATAGGTGCCTATCTGCCAACTGAGGTTAATAATTCGAACCAGCATAACAACGGGCGACACACGTATATCAGAAACCAGTAATAACTAATAACTTGTACAGGATATGGCTATCATGCCTCAGTGTTCCAGTGGATAACACTTTGAGGTTTGAAGCGGTAGGTCCGAGTTTCAGTGGGATCAGTCAGCATTACTTAATGAGAATCAGGTAAGTCCAGCTGACGAGTCATAAACGAAACGAAGTTTGCGTCCTGGATTTCACTGCTAGCCACCAAATAGACTATAATATAATGGATATCCAGACAGTATCGAAGCATCTGCATAGAGGCTCATCCGCCAACAGAAGTCGCGCAATTCGACCCTGTGTAGCAACGGGAAATTACCATTATCATTACAATCACTGACACATCGTTGCACAAGAGGTGGCTATCGTTCCCCAGTGGCTTAGTGGATAACGCTCTGGCATTTGAAGTGAAGAGTACTGACAACAACATCACTCTACACTGGGATGCAGGTACGTGCAGCTGACGAATCCTAAATAGGACTCAGCGCGCGTGGTATAGTTACAAAATGTTGAGTGACAGCACTACAAGTTAGAGAAACCAAAATATCAA